TCTATGGAAAAGTTAAAAAAAAACGAAAAAAGCTTTTTTAATGTGTAATAGTAAATAATAAAATTATTTTAAAAAATGATTCGGATTTACTTTTTAACATAAAATTCACCTTTGGTTATAATAATTTACTTAGTTTAAAATTTGGTTGACGAATTCGATCAAAACTTTGGTTAAATAAAAATGGTTATGATATATATATATATATATTAAAAATATATATATATATAACATATTAAAAATAAAATGTAATAGTAACAATAATAATAATAATATATAACAATAATATTGATAATAATAATAATAAAAAGATAAGAATAACTTTTTACAAAACCCAACGTAAGCAAAGTATGGAACTTTGAAGATTTTAATCGGCGAACGTTCAAAGAGAGGACAGACCTGTATGCCAAAGATGTATAAATAAAATAACAATTAAAGTACCTGAGAGGACTTGAGTTTGCGGTGATTAAATGGATGGATGGATGGATGGATGGATGGATGGGTGAATGGATGGGTGAATGGATGGGTGAATGGATGGGTGAATGGATGGGTGAATGGATGGGTGAAGGGATGGGTGAATGAGCGAACGGATGGGTTGATGGATGGGTGGATGAATGAATGAATGTATGGATTGATAGATGGATGGGTGGGTGGATGGAAACTCCAAACCGATAATTTTGTTTCAATTTTAAAATTTTTTCCATAATTTTAATTTTGCATGTTAAATTTTCGTTCCAAAACAGTTGTACCAATTTTTTTTGCTATTGCTTTTCATTTTTTGGTTGGTATTTTTAATTTTTTGAATTAAATTGCAGAATTATTACCTCATTATTAATTAATTATTTATTTAATTTTATTATACAGCAAGATATCTCAACTTGCGAAACATTCAGTGATTGCATCATTGAGGATTGCCTTCCTCACGTACCTCACATAAATGACAATTAACTCTTGCATGCATGTACATTCTCAATTGCATACGGATCAAAATGAAAACCTTTTTTGCTAAATTTTTTAACTCCATTTTCAAACTAATTAGAATAAAATTGGAAAAAAAGTCCGAAATTTCACTATGATTGAATGGATGAAAATGAACTATTTCTTCATTAATAGCCAACAAAAAAACTTAAACAAACACGGCAAACACATCGACAAGAATGAGTTCGGTCCGAACAACAACACCATCATCAACGAAAACAACAAGAGCAGCATCAGTAGCAACATCAAGAAAACCGCCAACAACATCAGCAACGACATCATCAACAATGACATAAATGGAAGCACTCTGGTTTACGAATTTCTTCACCAGCCTACAAATCATTACAGCTCCGTTACCTACGCCAGCAACTTTCAATACATTAACAACAACACGTTCTACGACATTAACTTGAATCTACTTGACAACATCCACAACAACAACATCAGCAACAACATCAACAACAACATCAACGCCACAGATGACGGCAACTATGATACGTCAGCAGCACTTGTTGCAAACATCATAATCTGCTTCATTCTGGCTGTCGTAATACTGGTCACGATTATCGGTTCGCCAATGACATCTTTTTATTATTATAACCAATAAATAATAAGCCTACAAATAACATTGCATCGTCATCAAAATTATCTTTATTATCATCAAAGTGTCGCGAATATGGTTTTCATTATCATTCTAGTCATCGTCAGCGTCGGGCTGCTGTAGCGGTTAAACGCCTGCTCCTGTCATCGCGGTGTCCGAGATCAAATGCAGAGAGATTCTCGCTTACCGCATTGTAATTGCGAGACTTGTGAACTCACGCATATTTACGTACACCACCTGTCTGCTATTAGAACTTCTGATAAAAAAATTTTGTTACATTACAAATTATTATTTCGTATTATATTGCATTGTATTATTATTGTATTGTATTGTATAAAATCTGTATTGTGTTATTAATAATGAATATTTTTATAAATGATTACATTACAAATTATTATTTGTAATGTAGCAAAACTCATTACAAATATTCCACAACAGGCAATTCGCTGGTCATAGCAGCAATCGCGCTGGAACGCTACCTTCAAAATGTAGCCAACTACCTGATAGCTTCATTGGCCGTTACCGACCTTCTAGTAGCCGTCTTGGTGATGCCACTGGCTGCCAAGAAACAAGTAGTGGCTTTGCGCTGTTGTGTGTTTATTTCTTTATTTATTTTTTTTTATTTATATTCTATTTATTATTTATTTATTTATTTATTATTTTTTAATCATTTATTATGTTTTGTAGTGGCTTGATGAGGTTCGCTGGTTGTTTGGTGATGTTGGGTGTCGTGAAGCTAGAATACGAATTTAGTTTATGATTCAAACATGATTTTAATTGAAATTTTTTTAAATGTGTGAAAAAGAAAAAACTATCTTTTATTATTATTAAAAACTAACTTAAAAAGCAAACAATTTATGTTGTAACCGAAATTGGACAATGTTAAAACACTCCACGAAACATTATTGAGATTGACAAAAAAAATGATTAAATGACTATTCCAAAACCACCAGAACCACACCAGCCACCACACACAACTTCGTCGTTCGCTTAGATAACAGGCGTGTGGCTGCTGGGTCGAGCGGCATGTGACGCTTGGACGTCGATGGACGTCTTGTGCTGCACTGCCTCCATCCTACACCTTGTGGCAATCGCACTGGACAGGTACTGGGCTGTCACCAAAGTCAACTATGTACACCATCGGCCCCTCAAAACCATCGTCGTCATGATCATCCTTAGTTGGGGGATCTCCGCCATTATCTGCTTGCCTCCACTAATGGGATGGAGGCAGAATGGTGGTGGTGTTGTTATTGGTGGTGGTGGTATTGGTGGGAGTGTCGGTAGCGGTGGTTCACAGGATGACGACGCTGATAGGTGTGTCACTTTTGTTAATTGCCTTGAAAATTTGGATAAAAATTGTGACCCTGCTTGTGAATTTGATCACTTGAAGTCATCTGATGACGTCGAAAACTCAAGCAAAAGTGATGCGAGTTTGTTGGAGGAAGGTGAGATAACGATGATGAACAATGACTCGTTCACGTGCCAGTTATTCGCTAAAAACGTTGGTGACTTTTACGAGAGCAATTACAAGTTTGAAAACAGGAGCGACGTGAATATCTTCAATGGCGACATCCTTTACGCTGTTGTAACTGATGGGCGTGCAATGAGAAACGTGAATTATTTTCAAAATGAGAACAAACCTGGTGTTGAAAATGTACGAAATGAAAGAAGAAACGTTAATGAACTCATCAACAGCATAGGTTTTTACAAATTACGTCTTCACGTTGGTAGTAACCGAGATCATCACAGTGCAAATAACTGGATGCGCTGCCGAACTGGAGCGCAGAGTAACACGTTTAAAAGTGTAAATGTATTTGCATGTACATTCTTGAATGAGAACAAATGGGACGAAAAAGTTTTAAAAATCATAGAAAATCAAAAATTTAGTAATAAAAAATATAAAAATATGAAAAAAGACCCAACTGAGAATTCTACCAGCAACAACACAAACAACAGCAACAATACAAACAACAGCAACAACACAAACAACAGCAACAACGACAGACAACACCAGTTCAGCCTCTCCAAGCATACAAACAATAGACACTTGACAAAAAAACAGCCACTTAAAAAACAGCCACTTATTCAATTTCGGCGGCTTTTAAAACGTCAAACAGCACAGCAAAATATAACTCGACGAGGCCAAAAGAATAAAAGTGTTCAACAACTACACAAACAAGCAGAAAACCAAACTACTACAACCCTACTGCACCATCACCAACAAAAATTTGAAATTGATTATTTTGTATTGTCCTGCATTTCACAACAACACAAAAAAGAAGGATGCCAACAGCATCTGGAAGAGCACCAACGACATCAAAAACAACAAGACAGTAAGCAGAACAACTGCAAAACTTTTACTTTAATTTGTAAAACTGTAGAAACCCGCCCAGATATTTTCAACAGAATAAATTTTAACTCCAGTATGAACTTTAGTAACTTTAATAATGACCTTAACGTCATTAACAAAGTTGACCAGCGAAACGACAACTGCACAGTTGAGATTGATTGCATCTTCGACGATATTCTTTTGAATAAAACTCTGAAAAACAATTCAACACAGCAGTCCAACCTCGAACCTCTCTTACTTCATCGCATAGGAAAAATAACCAATTGCTCCGACAACACCAAAATCAAAAGTTCTCTCATTTTAAACTGTTCATCAAGTAACAAAGACATCAAAATGAGAGATTTTTTTAATGAAGATGATGACGACATCAGTGTGAACTCAACAACTTTTAAAAATTTCAATCCGAAAAATAACCATCAGCACCACCAAATGACTAGCTACGCTACCAAAAACCGCACCAGCGACCACAACGTAGATCAGACCCCCTTCTTAAACTGCATGATCAGCCAGGATCCAGTCTATACCATCTACTCCACTGTCGGAGCCTTCTACCTGCCACTCGTCGTCATCATCATCATCTACATCAGCGTCTACAGAGCGGCCAAGCGGAGAATCAGGAAGAACATTTTGAAGTGCAGACCACTGGTGACGCAATCTGTGGTGACCACAACCATCATGACCACAACGCTGGTCGACACCGTCAACAATGTAAACAAACACAACTCCAGAAACAGTTTAAAAATTAACGTTAACAACAACCACAACAACACCACAACGACAACGTTAAACACTCCTGCAACCACTGTCGCTACAACTCACAACAACAATTCATTTGCTGCTACCACAACTACCACTCATAACAATTGCGTTGATATCGGTGCAATTTCAAAGAAAGATTTCAAACATGAAAGTGATGAGAGTGTTATGGTTGAAAGCGTTGATGACAAGATGAAAAAGTGTGTGAAGGATCCAATCAGGCTTAACTGCCCCTCTCCTCAACTTCAACAAATCCACGATGAAGTTTTTAGTGTACTCTCTAGTACTCCATCCCCAACAAACGCTACAGTTATTAATTCAAATGTGGCTGATGAGGTCGTTGGCAGAAGTTCTGCAGCCGAGAATGTCATTGACAATTTTGAAATCAAAAACTGCGTAGAACTTGCTGCTTATGAACCTTTAAAATGTCTTAATAGCAGGAGCATCGTCAGAACAATAAGAGACTCTGCCGATCACACAAAAGATACATCATGTTACAACAACACTAACAACAGCAGCAACAACAACAACAGCAGCAACAACACCATGCACGTAGTAAACAATGTTTCACATGTTAAAAATAATAGGCTGCATGGACACTCAACTTTGCAAATTGATCCTCAATCAGCAAGCCAATTAGCGGACGGACGCCAAACGACCAGCAAACGCAACATCGGCACGTCACAGGCAGCGAAGAAACTTCACAGAAAGATGTTTAAATCGCATTGTTCCTTGCAAATTACGACCGACAACTCGTCGCCAGAATTGCTTCAATTTACACATGCATTGAAATCGAGGAGTGAAAATGATGGTCTGAAGAGTTTTCCTGATATGCGCGCTACGGATGACGTCAGCGACGCCAAAAATGTTATCAAAAATTTTGTTGACTACAAAAACAGCGCCACCAACAACAACAACAACAACAACAATGTTGATTACAATTTTTGCAACTGCAATATCCACAAATGTTTCAAGAATATAGCCACAAACTCAACCAAAAGTGACAACGTCAAAAATAAAAAAAACGAGTATGCCATCAACAACAACAACATTTACAACAATAACAACATTAACAGCAGCTGCAACCCTTACAACAACAACTACTACATCAACAACTCTAGCAACGAACTCAGCAGCCGTCTTCCAATCGAGACGAAAGACGATGCCACAATCACGTTGTACGGCGACCAACTTCTTGACGTCCTGTGCAGAGATGCGAAAAATATGGAAGACCATGTCGATGTAAGGTCACGTGATGTGCTGCCTGGTCATGATTATGATTGTGGTGTCAGTTATGATTATGATTAAAGTTTTGACAGTGAGGATGTTGAGAATGATGATGAAGACGACGACGACGACGAAGTGATGGGAACATTAACGGAAAATATCCGCAAATACTGAAAAAACATCATCGTAAAATGGTGCTACTTTTAGGTAAAAATAAAAGAAAAATTCTCATAGTGCAGAGTTTTAAAAAATACTCACGCCATTGTTAAACAGAAATTTTGAAAAATATCATAAAAGGTTTAAACGAAACTCGTTAAGTTTTACATTTCAAACTTACTATTTTTTGGCATCAGCGTCTTGATAGTTATAGAAAGTGTCAATTTTGTTGTGTTACATCCATTGTGGCACAACAGTTGGTTGCAAGTACTGAAACGATACATAATCAGCTCTGTTTTTTTCTGCTCATAATTGCATAGCAATTAACTCGCCAAAAAAACAAATTTAAAACAAAATTTAGACTTTTATCGCATGTTGGAAATTTTAAAATAAAATGTTATTGGATGGTAGAGAAGCAGATTGGCATTCACAGGTGTCCCAAAAGCAGCCTGAGAGGCAACTGGACATTTTTTTGCTGCAGATATTTGCATGCATCAAGCAGCATAACGGAGCACATGAATGATGAAAAGCCATCACGTACGTGTAAACACCGACATCATAATGCTATAAACCGCATAAAACTTTAAATGCAAATTGAATCACTAGCCTTAATTGCTTTTTTTGAAATGCACTTTAAAAAAAATTTCGAAATTCGCTAAAATAGAAAAAAATTAAATTACTTTCGCTAACTAGGATTTCGTATTTGGGCTTAGTTTCAAAACTGCAACTGTTTATAATGTTTTTAAATTCTGCCTCAACTTCAATCAAACATTTCAACAGGTCTTCAAACGTTTTGCAAATTAAATTTCGCTTCTCCACGCCAACATTTTTGAACGTTCCAATGACACAAATATTTTTCTTGACGCATTGACATACACTTCAGCACTTTTTTAACTTCATGTCTGGACACTGAATCAGTTTGAAACGTTTTGAATTGTTAATATTTAAAGTAATGTTTTGGATATAATAACAATGTGCAATCATAAACTGATGAGTAACTACAGACAAAAACTATTTCAACTATTTTGCCACACATTTGACCTATGGAAAGACATACGCGTAATTTTAATAATTTACAAATTAACAAATAATTTTTTAAATTTACAAAACTAAAAAATTGAAGGAAGAAAATTCGTCAGAGTCTTTGGCAAGTGCAACGTCAACATTATCTCCAACGTCAGCGTCATCGTCGCTAACATCAATAACGTCAACAGCAACCGCATCGAAAACGGCAGCGGGAATTAGCTTTGTTGTAGTACCGGACGAAAGTGAATTGTCCCAAAATGCTTCTAAAACTTCTAAATCAAGCCCACTTACATCAGCCACACTTACGCCAGCCACAACAACCACACAAGCCACAACAGCCGCCACAGCAGCCATAACATCCATCACACCAAAACCATCATCAAAATCATCAACCTGCAAACCACCAACCACAAATCCAACAGTAACAACGTCACAAAAAACAGCAGCGCTGACATCAACTTCGGAGCGAGCAGAAATTTTTTCATCTTGTCCTTTAACTAGGACTTCACGAAAATTTTCAATGTCGATGCTGATGACGTCATCAATAAAAACGTCATCAAATGCAACTTCACACAACCTATCGTTCCCAACAATTACAACAACTCGGCCTAATTCGTCGATTACAATGAATAACTCATCAACAGAGAACGAAAGCCCATTGCTTCGATTATCTTCTTCTACCACCACAAAACTTCCTAACGAACGCAGAAGATTGTCCCAGCAGATTATAGAGCACATCCACCAACATCTTCAGTTGCAGCACCAATCGCAGCAACAACACAAATACTGTTCACCACATCAATTTCCAATTTCTTTGATTCAGCAGCTGCCTCAGCAACCGCATCAGCAACCAAATCGTTCGACCACAAAAAACGTGCACCTGAGACTCATGACCAACCTGCTTCTGCCTCTTCCTTCTCCGGAAAGTAATCATCATCACCACCATCATCGACATCATCGTCGTCGTCGTTCAAAATGTCTTCAAAATGTCAAAGGACAACAACAACAATCACCACACCAACAACAACAACAGTCACAACACCAACAACAGCAACAACAACCACAACACCAGTCAGACATCGGGCAAGAGGACATGAAGAAACCTTGCAGACAACAATTATTCGCGCCAGTAACTCAGACGCGACATTATTCATCGCCCGTCATAATCAACTCTCTCATTCAACACAACAACTGCAACATTGTTGACAACAATTCTTGCAACTTCAACAACATTAACAGTTTTTTATATTACCTACACGGTAACAAACCCTACAATAATGATTATACCGACAAAAATTTTGATACTTTCAGCATAAGAAGTGCAAATAGTAGCTACAGTAGCAGCAGTAGCAGCAGTAGTAGCAGCAGGAAGAGTTGCAGCAGCAGTTGTAGTAGTGGTGAAAGTAGTAAAAAAAGCGTTGAGTGCGTACATAACAATGATCACAGATATTTTAAAAACATCTCAAATAAGAAAGAGCGAGCAAAGAAAAAATCGAAAAAATATGATAAGAATGTGAAAGTTGAAATGATGAAAAACCGGCATTCAAGTTTTCAAAACATTCTGTCCGTTTTGAAAGTAAAAAAATTATCACTGCCAACAACTTCCGCAACAAAAATAACTTCAACAATGTCGTCGCAACAAATTTTTCACAAAAATGTTGAAGAACTTTCGATTCAGAATCAAACAACGAAAAAAAATTCAGTAGAACATGAAGAAGAACAATCCCAGACACGTTCTAGATCTTTCTCTCACGAGATTAAAACTATACCCACTTCATTAAATAAGTCGGAGCGACGCAGAAGCGAGATGGTTATTCCGAAAAACTGCATTCTGAACACCATAAAACACACGTACAGTAATTTCAACGAGAACCTTTTTGACGCATTTTCGCACAATAATTCGAAAAATGATTTTAACATGAAAAGCGAGTTTTACCAAAAGAATAACGTATTAAAGATGTCTTCCAAAACAACAGCTCCTGCATCGGCTTCAACAACTAACAATGCCTTATCCAAGTTCTCCAAAAAGTCTTCATCCACATTTCTGACGAAGCCTCGATCAACCATCCCGATCCTGATCGTGGTGGAGACGGAAGACGCAAACATTCAACGCCAGCATCAGGAACATCAGCAGCCTCAAGGACAACCTGACATCACAGATCGCAAACATCACACGCAGTACGACTGCAATCTCCTCATTCCCATAGAACCCAGAAGCCATTCAACCATCGAACCCTCGTCTGCGGAAACATCTCCAGCAAAAAATCCAACTAATACTCATTTGAAGTTTCCGGACGGCATCAGATCTTCAACTCACTATTTGAACCACCACGAACACGATCCACACAGCTCACTACTTTATCACCACCATCACCACCACCTACAAAAAACGTCATCCATCAAACGTTTGGAACGCCTCCACGCACTATCAACGAGGAAACATCGCCGAGAACAGGCGAGAGAGAGGAAGGCCGCTCGTACGTTGGCCGTCATCACCGGTTCCTTCGTCATCTGCTGGCTGCCCTTTTTTCTACTGGCCCTGATAGAACCTTTCTGTGGAGACGTGTGTCGCGTGCCATACATTCTGGCCAGTTTCATCAACTGGTTAGGGTATTGCAACAGTCTCCTTAATCCGATTATCTACACCGTCTTCAGCGGGGACTTCAGAAGAGCTTTTCGAAAAATTTTGCTTTGCCGAAGATGTTCGCTAGCAGGTTGCTGCAACGAAGGCTACAGTGACAGTGCATTTCCAACTGAGAAGTCGTCATGGTGGATGAGGTTCTCTCCGTTTTCTAGACACAGGTCGAAATACAAGATGGAGAGGCGAAGTGGAAGGAGGAAGCTGCTCTACTCCAAACTGGTTGTGCCTCCGATGGTTTGCTAAGAGCTTGTAATTCACTGCTGGTCATGGTGAAATTTGGAAATTTATTTTTTATCAACTTCAATGCAAGTAGGTTGGTTTTAAAAAATTTGTCTGAAGAATACTTTCTGACTTCCCACAAATATTTGGATAAGAATTTTTGGTTGTAGACAACGAAATGTCTGTAATGAAATTAGTATAATGATAATTTGAAAGAACATTACCTCAAAAATTCTCTCATAAATACTTGTCGTTGTATTTGTTTATCATATAATGAGAAATATTGTTAATTTAAAGTGACTACGCTATATACCTATTACAGTGTAGCATCGCTTAAACATCGTACGGTATAGACGTAGCGTTTGCTTGAATATAAATATCAAAAGAGCATATTTTTAAATGCAAACCATATCATTGCTTTGATGTTGTCATCATTTCATAATTTTTTTTAATTGATTTAAAATAATCACCATACTTTTAATTACAATAATTAATTTTTTCTTTCGCAAAACTGTGTCAAGCTTTTTAACAACGGTTGGTTATCTTTTAATTCTAGATACGGAATTGAGTGTATAACAAATCTTACGCTGCAATTTAATGAGCGTATCTAATCATGTATCAAGATAATTCATTCATTCATTCGTTCGTTTGTCCGTTCGTTCGTTCATTCATTCATTCACTTATATATAATAATACTTGAGTTCCATTATTACCATTCCAATGTTCTACCTTCAAATCATTCCAAAGCAAATTAATAATAATAATTGCAAGTTATATCATTTTTTTTGAACAACTTTTTTTAAACTTTTTAACGATTGAACTTTTTTTACATTATTTTTATGTTAATTATATATTATATAAACATAAATAAATAAATGTATATATATGTATATAATATAATATATACAATATTCTATAAATTCTACCGAATGTTTGGCGTTAATATGTTTGTAGTTCGTTTTTTCGATTTTTCTCACTTAAGTTTTTTGGTGATCGTTTAGTTTATTAAAATTCAAAATAAACTTA